GAGTGAAAGTAGCTTTAAAATATGGAAAAGGCTGGGAGATCTTTCTTTCTGAAACCAGGCAGTGCAAGGATTCACAACCTCCAAATTCACTAGAAAAACAAACTGTGGGTCAGTATGAGACAATGTAAGTTATATAAGGTAAGTTTTGTATGATGAACATGTTGTCTTGATGCTGTCATTGTAGGTTAGGAACATTCAGCTTCATAGGTGTAAAAAAACTGACTCCAGAGCAATCTCAAATTTCCTTCCTGTTTGATATCACATCAACCTTCAAGGATAGCCTTAATCCCAATTTCCTAAATTGACTTTCTTGGCCAATATTTTTATTTTTTATTTTATTTATTTATTTGATTTGTTAATCAAGGTATAGGTATAAACCTGAGTAAGAATACAGGAAATAGGTGCAAATAAATGGAGACAATAGGACAGGGACAGTAGGCACAATTGTGCACTTATGCACGCCCCTTACAGACCTCTTAGGAATGGGGTGAGGTCAATAGTGGATAGTTTAAGGTTAAAGGAGTGGGGGTTAGAGGATGTAACAACAGATCAGGTAATGCATTCCAGGCATTGACCACTTTCCCAGAAATCTCTTCTTCATTCATTTACTCTTGAGTATTAAGTAGAGGAGGAAGGAGGTCTGCCTTCCTACTGGGAGGGGATGCATGAATGTCTTCAGTGTGGGTTTACCATTTCGTTCAGCAACAGACACAGAACTGTTCTTTGGTATTTTTTTTAATAATAATTCTGCTTTGTGTTTCCTTCACAGCATGGAGGGTCATCAGGGGATGTGCTGCTACTTGCCCTACTGTGGAATCCTATGAGGAAGTTATGTGTTGTGCAGAGGACATGTGCAACAAGTAGTTCTACAAGTGGCTAAATTCCTTGAGTTTTGCTATCACCCATCATGGGCCGTCCTTGAAAATTTATGCTTCTGGCCTTTAACACCAGATGGACCATATTCCCCTTCCCCCCCTGCTGTCTTTGACACCTCATCATCTTTCCTTTTCTCTTGTTCTGTAAGTTTCCTTCTGCTAGTTCTGTAGTTTCAGAATTGACTAAACCACAGAATTCAATTCAAGTGTTTTGATTTTTTTCAAAAGATCCAGTTCACAAAACCCACAGTTAGAGAGTCTTCCTCCAGGATTCTGTGGGCAGTGATGCTGGGATGAGCAAGGTTAGGTCCAATCCCTGTTGAATCATGGCTTGTATTGCCTAATGAGGTAACAATCTTATATTCAGACAGGGTAAAGAAAGAGGAGAAACCCCAACTGAGTCTTTCCTCAGTGAAACATCAATCTTCAGAGCTGCTCCTTCCTTCCCTTTCTCGTCTCTGGGGCAAGCTGAGAGGAAGAGGAAAATGCCTTGAAACAGAGGAGGGGGATTTGAGGTGAATGCTGGCAGGCCTCTTCTACATCACACCTACCTGAGAGGAGCAAGTAAGAATAACAGTTGACAAATCTTGTTCACAGTATAACAGTATAGTAGTTATACATGGCCTCCAGCCACCCTTGCCCAAGTCCTGGGAGAAGGGTGGGACTTAAAGGATCTCCAAATCACCATGAGATGGAAGCCACTTGGATCTCCAGTGTATCATATCATAGGGTTCTTTCCCCTCTAATTGAACTTCTGAATACAACCAGGCCTGAAGTTGAGTGGGAGAATGAAAAATCAATTATGCCAGGAATATAATCAACCCCCCTTCCCCAATATTGATACTAAAATGCACATATACACAACCCAACATCATTGATGTACCAAAAGTGAAAGACTGTTGAAGGATGTTGACTACGGAAGGGGAGCTGGTGTGTTGACCACAATGAAATAGTTCTTGTTTGTCTGTGACTCTCTCTCTCTCTCTCTCTCTCTCTCTCTCTCTCTCTGTGTGTGTGTGTGTGTGTGTGTGTGTGTAGAGAGAGTGCAAGACAAGAGTTGTTCAGGCCCTCCTGGAATCCCACAAAATATATAAAAGGGGAGGTGGAGTTGCACTATATATAAAAAATAACTACATCTCTACAGAAATAATATCTATATATAGCATCAATGTAACATAAATGGAAACAAAATGTTACATTGCTGTTATATATAGATACTTGTTTCTGATTTGCTTTTTCCCAATAGGAAAAAACAAAGGAGAAACATCAAGATGAATAGTAAAATAATTTTTATTTATGCATTTATTTATTTATTTAGTATCTGTTTTGTTAATAAAAACAAAAACAGATACTAAAAAAATAAATAAATACATAAATAAATAAAACAGCAACTTACCAAAAACGAAGCAGGCAACTTCTTGTTACATTGATGTTGCTATATATTGATTTAAGCAGAAACAGATAATGTATAACAACAATGTAACAAGAAGTTGCCTGCCTCATTTTTGGTAAGTTGTTTTTTTTTATTTATGTATTTATTTCTTTAGTATCTGTAAACAAAACACTTGCGAAGCAACTGGCCACTAAGTGAGGACCTGGCTATTAAGCAAGGACCACTTAAATTTGGTTTGCCATTCACATGGCCACATGCCCTCTCCAGGGCTCTCCTGGCCTTGGAAACTGGCAAAAACACTTGCTAAACAACAGGCCACTAAGTGAGAATCTGGTCATTAATCAAGGACCACTTAAATTTGGTTTGCCAGTCACATGGCCATGTGCCTAGGCCTCTCCAGTCACATGACCACGTAGCCACGCCCAGTCAGCAAACCACCCCCACTAAGCCACTCCCACAAATTAGGCCACGCCCACAGAACCAGTTGTTAAGAAATACTAAGCCACCCCTGAGTCTACCTAATGCAGAGAGGAAAGATCAGGCCAGCGAAGCTTCGGCCTGGTCTACCTGCTGCAAAGAGGAAAACCAGCCAAGCTTTAGCCCGGTCTACCCAATTAGCCCAGCATGGCTTCGGCCTGGTCTACCCAATGCAAAGTGGAAAAATCAGGCCAGCCAAACTTTGATCCAATCTACCTGGTGAAAAGATGAAAACGAGCTAAGCTTCGTCCCAGTCTACACAAGGCAGAGAGGAAAGATCAGGCCAGTGTTTCTTTCACTTGTTCCTCTTCCATTTTAATACTCAATATATAGTTATACATTTTAAAATTAATTTTCCATCTGTCATATCTGATCTAGTTCCATTGGTTCTTTATAAAAACCTTACTCCTGCATCTTACTCCTATCTTGTTTGTATTTGCACATGTGGCCACCATGCTAAATCAATCCCTTGATTGGTCAGTTCTTTAGATTTAAGTTCCCCTTTATCATTCAAGATGTCCTTATATCTCACAATTTTTTTCCATATAAATCACATTTGGATGTATCAGTGCCCCCATTGTGGAGAGGCAAAGTGGTATTTTCATATAATGTACTTCTTTAATTTTTCCCCACAGTGACAACAGTGCATTTCTAACAAAATGTCTTTGAAAGTATCGATGTATCTTATTTTTCCCATACCATAGAAAAGCATGCCACCCCAACTGGAGGTCACGTCCATCCAAATTTAATTATCTTTTATGTCTCCGATTAACCCATTCTTTCACCCAGACAAGTGCAGAGCCCTGGTAATATAACCCCCAATCTGGCAACCCAAAGCCCCTTTTATGTTTGGTATCTGGTAGCAGTTTCAATTTTATTTTTGCTTTTTTCCCTTGCCAAATATATTTTACTATCATTTTATTTATCTAACTGTGGGTTTTGTAAAAGGGATGGTTTCAAAAAATAATAATAATCAAAACACTTGAATTGAATGCTGTGGTTCATTCGATTCTCAAACTACAGAACTAGCAGAAGGAAACTTGCAGAAAAAGAGAAAAAGGGAAGATGATGAGGTGTCAAAGAGTGCAGGGGAGAGAGGGATGATGGACCATCTGGTGGTAAAAGCCAGAAGCATAAATTTTCAAGGATGCTCCATGATGGATGAGAGCAAAACTCAAGGAATTTAGCCACTTGTAGAGTTAGTAGTTGCAGTTGTCTCTTGTGCAATACAGAACCGTCAGATCGGGATCTGTAGTAGGGCAAGATTCAGCACATCCCTTGGTGATATCGAATGCTTTGAAAGAAACACAAAGCAGAATGATTATTTTTTTAAAATACCAAAGAACAGATCTGTAACTGTTGCTGAATAAAATGGTAAACCCACTTTTAACACATTTACATTTAACGCATGGATTCTCTCCCAATAGGAAGGCAGACCTCCCCTCCAGTCTGGGCTGTTGCTGAGAAAGACGGGGCACCACAGTCCAAGATCCACCTGCCCCTTTCCTTGCATTCCTTAGACTGTCCGGCAACAGAACGTGACCTCAGGGGAACCCAGGCAGGGCACAGACAGGTCCTAGATGACCTCCAGTTCTCTGGTGCATTTAGGAGCTCTAGTCTGGGTTGAAGAAGAAGAAAAGCTGTGAGAAAAATTAAGAACTGCACTTACCTATTGGAGCAGTATTATTCCACATTTTATAGCATATATCTTGCCGATCCTGACATTCTTCCTTGACAGCACACAAGTTTCCATTGCACGAGTAACATGCCTTGATGTGTGCTAGATGAGAGAGAGAGAAAAAACATAGAAATCTTATTTGGATATTTATTTTTCTGATCTTGCAATCTTATTATTTATTAGATCACTTAATACTATGGTCAGCTGTGAAAAAAAAATCCAAACAAAGATCAAATGGTCTAGAAAGTAGGAGAGAAGGCTAAGAAAAGGAAACATTTTTCATCTCACTCCCAGGAGTAATTCCATGGCAGAACTCACTATGCAAAGAAACCTCTACTTTCAGTGGCAGTCTATCCCAGAATGCCAGCCTGGAACAGCCCCGTCTCAGCCATGGGCTTCTCTCCAAATGGAGACCTCCTCTTCTCCCCCAAAGGCTCACATGGACCCTCCTTATGCAAACCAGAACAGTGAGAACATCCCATCAAAAAGAAGGGACCACAACTGCCTCAAATAACCTCCCTCCCTCTGCCCCTTTGTTTTGGGTTTGATTGCCACCCAAGATCAAAGTTTGCTGGCCTTACCTAAGTCCAGGCACACGATTGTCACCACCACCAAGGTCAGCAGCAGAGTTTTCATCCCGCGATCTTCTCTGGAGCCTGAAAAGTGTAGCCCAGGGTGGAAGCAGACACTTATTTATACCCCTCTGAGATGGGGGTGGGTGGGTGGGGCTGGATATCTAGGATATCTGGAGAGAAGAACAGGGAGATTCCGTGGGAAAGGGGAAGGCCAGGGGGTGTGGCCTTTTTGCCCCTGACACCAAAACAGAATCCAGAACAGATCAGCTGAAGAACCAACCATTCCTTGTCTTCAAGGCAAATGCTACCATGCCGCGTGCAAAACTACCGTTCTGTGTTCAAAACCTGGGCACCTTGACAATTGGTGTCTCTTCCTCTATTTATAATAAGGTTATTCAATCCTTATAGAACACAGAATTAAACAAAAATATCTCTCTGCAAAGTTCAGCGCTTTTTTATTTTATTTTTTCTTTGTACTTCAGCCAGCCAAGTGGGCAACTTCTCAGAATCTTCCAACCTCTCAGGTTGTGACTGTGGATCTGCCGTCCTTCAAGAAACATGGCCTCCTTTGAGCAGATCGGGGGATGAGTGGTTCTCTCTAAAACTGGCCTGTAGATCGGGGGTGTCAAACAGGATTTCTTCGAGGGCCGAATCAGCATTATAGTTCTACTCCATGGGCTGGTGGGGGCGGGGAGAGGGGGAGACAAGAAGGATGCCTCCTTCAGCACTTTAGCAATCAAAATGGGGCACGGGGGTGTTGTGAACTAAAGAAATGTAATTAATAAAGATTCATTTGCATAGCAGGATCGTAATCCTGCACTTCCTATTGGCCCATATAATGGCAAGTTATGATTGGTTAATTCCGAGCAATCTGACTGGCTGTTGGCGGGCCGAGTCCCATTGGACGAGGTTCAAACCCTATAACAACATCCATTGGTCATCCGGATAGCAGTTCACTCTATAAAAGGGCGGCCGCTATCCGGGGGTTTTTGTCTCTGTTATCATGCTGTAAATAAAGAGCCTGAAGTTCACGTGAAGCAGTCTCGTCTCCGTTTCTAAGCCCATGCCTCATACTTATCAGCCTTCCCCAGCCTCCAGCAGCAGTCTGTCGGCCTAAAGCAGGCTGTGTGGGCCTCCCGAGGCTTCCACACGGCTTGTTTTTGGTTGGCAGAGTGCTGCAGGAGGCTGGGAAAGCTGAAATCGGGCTGTGAGGGGCTGCGCAAGGCCCGTTTTGGCCAGCAGAGGCACAGTGAGACGGTCCTTTGATATATCCAGGCCAGCCCAGCAGGTTAAATTTAAGCACCTAGCTTTTGTCCTGCGGGTCTTGAGTTTGACACCACTGCAGTGGACTAAAGGATTTGCAAGATCCAAATGTCAGGATAGACAAGGAAGATAGATAGAGAGTTGCTCAAAAAAAAAAAAAAAGTTTTTTCTTACCGATGACTTTAAAACCAGAAATGCCTCAAACCTGTGAGGGTCCTGGACAGAATAGTCTTGTCACCCATAAAATCCCTTTGTCCTTGACAAATGTCCTTAAAAAAGTTCTTCACAGATTCAAGTCTGGCTTTTATTATGCCCAACAGAGGCCCTATCCATTGGTTAAGATTAATTTCCAATCAATCAATCAGAATAGAGCTGGAAGGATTTAATTTATTTTAATAGTACATGTGTTGACGGCAGCTTGAATTATATAAGCGCAATACTGGAAGAAGGAAAGCATACCGCCAGAAACGGAGATAATAAGGAAAATTATGGCCTGTGCAGAATCAGACAGCTTAACTCTAGAAATAAAAAACATAAGGGGGAATCTAAGTACTATGAAACGTGGAATATTTTTTTATCAATGGTTGCATAGAACAAGGCAACATTGGAACATAAGTAAATATGATGATTAGAATAATCCCTAAAAATGTATCAAAAAAAAAAAAAGGATTGTAAATGGTGAAGTCAAATTTATATACGTATAAGAACTGTATTGACAGAACGGCTATGCCGTGTTGTATTCATATAATTAAAATAAAAAAATAAATAGAAAAAAAAAGAATAGAGTTGGGAGGGACATTGGGGGTCTTCTTGTATGACCCCCTGCTGAAGCAGGAGATTCTATCTCCTTTCAGTTAGAAACATCCAGAGATGAAGCACGTACAACCTCTGAAGAAAACTTCTGTTCCACTGATTAATTGTTCTCACTGTTAGGAAATGCATCCTTACTTCTAGGTTGCTTCTTTCCTTGATTAGTTTCCATCCATTGTTTCTTGTCCGGCCTTCAGGTCCTTTGGAAAATAAGTTGACCCCACTCTTCTTTGTGGCAGCCCCCCAAATATTGGAATACTGCTATCATCTCACCCCTTGTCCTTCTTTTCTCTAGACTAGCCATGCCCAGTTCCTGCAACTGTTCTTCATATGTTTTAGTCTCCAGACTTTTAATCATCTTAGTTGCTCTTCTTTGAGCTTTTTCCAAAGTCTCGACATCCTTTTTTGTAATGTGGTGATAAAATGCAGTACACAAGTGTGGTCTTACTAATGATTTATAAAGAGGTACTAATACTTCACATGATTTTGATTCCATGCCTCTATTACTACAGGATTGTATTAGCGTTTTTTTGACTGCTGCCACACACAGCTGCTCATATTTAAGCGATTATCCACTACAACTCCAAGGTCTCTCTCGCAGTTATTGTTTTTGAGCCTGGCTTCACCTAGTTAGTACATGTACCTTTGATTTTTCCTGACTAGGTGTAAAACCGTACTTTTCTCCGCATTAAATTTTATATTGTTGGAAGGGGCCCATTGTTGAAGTTGTCTTCTGGAGTGTTGGCTATTCCTGCCAGCTTGGTGTGATGTGCAAATTTGATGAGTTCCCCTTCTATTCCTTCATCTTAAGTCATTTATGAAGATATTAAAGAGTTCTGGGCCTAAGATGGAACTTTGTGGTACCCCACTGCTTACTTCCCTCCATTTAGATGTAGTACCACTTAAGGATTACTCAAAGATCCTAATGTTAATTGTTGGCCATTAAAAGCAATGATTGAGGAGCCAACGTTTTTTTTTAAATATAAATTTTATTTGGGTTTTCACAAAAACATAATACAAATAAAGCATCTTTTTTTGAGAATAGCATGATCCTGGGTTATCACTTCTTCATACAGACACAAACTCAATTTCATATTCATCTTTGTGTTCTATTCCATATCTTATTACTATTTTAACATTTTCTCCATAATTTTCCTCTTCCTTGGTTTCTTCAACTTTATTTTTAATTATCTCATATCTAAATTCAATTATATATCTTTTTCTAAGTTTCAATGTCTTTCCAGTCATTATATTTATACTTTTATCTGTCCTGTTTCAATTTCATATTATCTTTTCTCATTAAACAAATTTTCCCCTGTAGTTACTAATTGGAGTATGACACCTTTATATCTTTTAAGTTTATCCATTCAACTCTTATTTAAACTTCAATTTATGCCTTTAAAATTATAACATTCAATATAGTACATAACTTCCAATCAAATTCTGCTTGATACATTCTTAAAATACACACTATGTTCATGTATGTATGTATGTATGTATGTATGTATGTATGTATGTATGTATGTATGGTATTCAGCTTTGTTCGGGTATTTTCCCACGTCATTATAGTTGTGCTTTTAAAGTTGTAGCAACATTTCAGCAGAATCTCATCTGCCATCATCAGGCTTCTGTATTGTGTTGTCTGTGAGTCAGACTTTCACAGCTGTTTTTGTTTTAAATTTGGTGCTAACCTACTGCTGTGCCAGAATGGTTTTTTCTTCATCCTGATTGGTTGGGAATCTTGGTCTTTGTTTATTGGTCTTGGAGTTTGCTGTGTTCTGCTTGATTGGTGTTTCTCATATCTTCTGTCTGTTTGGTAGCTTTTTTTTTTTTTTTCCTGTCTTGATTGGCTGGCAACATTATGTTTCCCTTATTGGAGGCTTTTAGTGCAGCTTGGCTCTAACTAAATGGATGGCTATCATTTATTAGGAAGCTAGGTTTCATCTGGGTTCCTGGTTGGGGTGTGTTTGAGCGGGAGGTATCAGGGGGGGTCTGTTTGTGCCCAGGTGTTTGGCTGGCTTGTGGTGTGAAGATTTTTTTGTTTGTGAGTGCAGGCTTCCAAATAATTGACAGTCTGGTAGAGTCATCTCTTCTATTCATGCTTTCAGGTCTTTTTTCAATCTCTATGGCTTCTCTGATAATTCTGTAGCTGGGGTTTTCTATAGTGGCTAGGGTTTTGGTGCTATTGAAGTCGATGCTATGACCTGTTGCTTTCATGTGTTGGACTAGTGAGGAAGTGTGTTCCAGCTTTTTTACTGCATTCTTGTGTTCATCCAGGTGGGTACTTATTCTTCTATTGGTCTGTCCAATGCAGGGCATGATGCACAGGGAACTTCATATATGCCTTGGTTTTCCAGGTCTTGATTGGTTGATGGAGTTGATGTTTATATAATGGTATAATGGGCTGTGTGGTGGCCTTGTGAGTTTTGTTGTGGAGATATCCTGGATCTTGTGCTGTAATCTCCTGGATGGTTTGTGCATTCCTTCTTGTGCATCTTCTTTCTGTTTTTTAAGTTCCATTTTCAGTTCTTCTAAAAGTGATGCCATTTTAAACACTTTTAAACAACCACCTGATTGATTTTAGTCATTTAAATCCAATAGCCAAAAATCCAAAAATCACCAAGTAATCCAAATAATCCAAAGCTGTTTTTTCTTGCTTCTTTTTTCCACTTTCTCTTCCTGGGGTTCTATTATTTTGTTACAAAGTTTCAGTTAGAATGTATCTTTTAGTAATCTTTTTAAGGTTTCACTGTAAGTTCCTTTTAGTTCCAGGCAGTCTCCTCCATTTTTTCAGATCCCGCCCTTTTATTCTTTCCTTTTCTCTCCTTTCCTGATTTTAAAGGTTTTTGAGTATCCAAAAGTCTTTATTATCCCTTTGACATTTTATTTTCAGCTTAAATGCCTATTGATGTCAAAGTGTATTTTTGTCAATTTCTTACTTAAATCTCTTAGCTGTCAGTATAAGGAAGGGAAGAAAAAAAAAGCCAAATCCTTTCCCTTCCCTCTCTCCTTCGCTGCTTCAGTCTTCTTTGGGAACAATGTTAATTTTTTTATAGTTCAAATTCCAGGGTACCTTACGTTGTTGCTTTTTCAGTTTAACCTGGTCAACCAAAACTTTCTCTTCTTATCTTCCTCCTGCACATTCTTTTCCAGTTGAGTTCTTCTTTGAGGTGGCCATTTCTGACCACTACTGCAACCACCTTCAGGAAAGGGAGTAATGGCCAGCTGAGGAGATGTGGCTCTCCTCAACCCTGCTGGTGGTCTCCTCCCTCTTCACCACCTCTACGGGATGGCTTAGCCCTGAATCCAGCTGGCTCGGGGCACTCTGGCGGCGAGCACGGATCGAAACCACGCATGATCACGGATTTCGGTCCATTGCCGAAGAAGCTCAAACCAGAGGTCCTGAGGAGCCAACATTGATTGATTGATTGATGGCTGGATTGATTGATTGATTGATTGATGCTTTTTCTTAGACCCCCATAAGAGAGTGATTTTGATTGACTACAAAGTGACCCACATCAGCACTAGTCCAGGGCTGAGGGAGGCATTTCAGAGAGGTCAAGTTCTCCTTTTCAAGTGGGAAAAATGCAGTGTATCAGAGAAGTAGCAGTAATTCAAGCCCACCATGGTTCATTTAGATCAATACTAGCCGGAAAAGAAGAGGCCATTTTCACAGATGTAAACGGAGATTCTCAGTCATCCAGGTCATGGCTGTCCCAAAGGTGCTTTTTCTGACATTTCACTTCTCATCCAAGAAGCTACTTCAGCTCTGACTGGATGGTGGGGAATAGAATGATTTATACTGCTTGCAGACAGCTGGTCATTGGCATTCTTTTTAGCAAGTCATCAGTCATCCAGGTCATGGTTGTGACTGAGAATCTCTACAGACTTTTAGCTATACAATTTGGGATGAACAAACATTGACTGGTGTGGGAGTAGGAATGGATTTCCAGAGGAAAAATTCCAGACTACAGGAACCAGGACCACTACTCAGGTGACACTGAGGACACAGATAAACAGAAAAAAAGTGGCCTCAATGGGCCTCTAAAAGGATACAAATGAACAGCTGTCTGCAAGGAGTTTAAATCCTTCCATTCCCCACCATCTTGTCAGAGTTGAAGGAGCTTCTTGAATAAGAAGTGAAATGTTTTCAAAAGAAAAAAAAGAAAGTCCAGCTGCCTCCTGAAAATACACCTTTGGGACATAGTGTCAGAGCTGACCCATCCTTTGCCCACTTCCATGCTTTGCTTGGATGCCAGCCTGCCATATGTTATGGGGGAGGGGAGACCAGGGGGAAATTAGACCTGCAAGCAAGAAACCGAAATCAATACTTCCCAAGGACCATCCCCCTCATGGCCGTGGTCCTGGGAATGGAATGCAGCACTTATCCATCTACCAAACACAACAGGGACTGTTACC